TAAGTCTCACCAGATGTTTGCTCATCACAGCCTCTCCGAAAGCAGCCAGCTGTACTTTCAGTCTCTGGAAGCTTTCCTCTTGTCTAAGAACTCCTAAGTAGGCGCACGCTGTGTGCTGGGCAGCTACGTCTCCATCCTCAGATCGACTTGGCTCAAAGGAGTGTGCATGCTCAGCTCTCTCTAAAGCTCATCCTTGTGCAGAACTGGTCTTTCTTCATTCCAGGCCTCACATTCCCATCTGCTACCCTCTCTTCTCTTTACCTAGAGCTCTCAGAAGTCAGATCCCAAGGCCACCCAACACCTGGCACTCCCTCCCCCAACTAGCTCCCCCTCCTCCTATCAGACCCTCTCACTTTCGTAGCCTCCATTGGGAACCACCGCTGTATACCTGTGACACTTGGCTGGGCTCTGCTGACAGAATGGGTAGAGAACTCCTGTTCACAAAACGAAGACTGTTAGCAGCCACCATAACACAGCAGTAAGTCAACTCGGGTTTATTGAGACCAGCAATGGAAGCTCAATCTGCCAGGAGATGCAAGTCATTCCCATCAGCGGCGTGAAGTGTTGAAGCATCAATGTGGCAGAACACTGTGTGTGTGTGTGTGTGTGTGTGTGTGTGTGTGTGTGTGTGTGTGTGTTTGCAGAGCGGGGACAGGGGCTTTTGTAAGCATAACCAGGTGTAGTGAGAACGCTGCCATATAAAAAGGAGAGTGACTAGAGTTGAACCTAGCAAGAGGCTTAGCTCCTACCCTCCTGCATTCAATCCTCCCAGCTGGCCAGGGCTTCAAATAAGACCCCAGGAAATATGGTTCTCAGCCAAGATGTCATCTTATCCCCCAGAAGGATGACTATGGCTGCTTCTGCACTGCTATAAGAAATAAATCCACCAAAGTGTACAATGACAGATGAGCGGCTGTTAAAAAGGCAGTGTATACATACAATTGGGTATTATTTAGCTATAAACAACAACAAAACAAATCCAAGCAACATGGAACCAAAGGCACTATGAAGCAAAATAAGCCCAGGTACAGAGAGACAATGCCACACATGTCTATATGACGAAGCCATCAGAGCTGATGTGGCGGAAAGAGAAGGCAGGTAATAGTAACACGACAGAAAAGACAGGAGGAGACACGAAGCTCAGATAACTCCATGGCACAGTGTGCCCTTAGAGATGACAATAATGTATTTCATATTTTACAAGGAACCATGAGGGGAGTGCAAATACAGTCCCATACAAAGAAATGATTAACGTTTAAGAAAAGAGAATAGCAATCACCAGACTGAATCATTATACATCTATGTATCCAATTACATTATACTCCATAGATACACCATTTAAAAAATAAAAATAAAAAAGATTTAGTCCTAGCACTCACAAGGCAGAGGCAGGGGGTTTTCTGTGAGTTCAAAGCCAGCCTGGTACATATCAAGTTCCAAGCCAGCCAAGGCTACATAGTGAAACACTGTCTCAAAAACAAAAAAACCAAACCAACCAACCAAACGATTTACAAAGGAGCCGAGGCATCCTTCAAGCAGCCTTCTTTCCATTGTAGGCTAGCCTCAGAGGTCACAGAGAGCAGGGCAGAAACACCAACAGGGTTCTTTGCGGGGGCAGCATCTGGCCACAGTGCTACAATCTGATGGGGCTGATCTGCAGTCTTTCCTGTAGGAAATGGCAGGTGGAACAGCACTTGCAGGTGTTGGGTGGGGCCTCAGCTAGGGGCCCAACACAGGCCCACATTCTGGCAGGAGCTGGGCAAGCTCACATGCCTGTCTGTCTAGCTATCCACGGGTCAGTGGAGTCATCTGTAGACAGCACTGTGCTGTCTGGGTGCTGGGGACTCCCTCACTATGTATGCACAGCGCTTTGTCACGAGGACCACTGCTGCACACCTAGTCCGTGTGCAGAACGCAAGGATGAGGATGAGGGAACATAGGGTTGGCTCTTGTGGGGTCTCTGGGACACTATCCAGCCACCATGGGGTACACAGAGATTCTTCCTGGTCTCCTTCGGCTTTAGAGCTCTTTTCTGGGGTTCTCAGCTCCCCAGATGAGCTGATTCTAGCTTCTAAGAATAAGAGTCATTGAATTTTGAAGATACTGAGACAAGTTTGGAGTCTGCGTCCTTTGGATGGGAGGCAGCTGGCCTCGAAGCACTATAATCAAGGCTATACGCACAACCAGACTGGTTCAGGGGCTCTTGGGGTCCAGAGGAGCTCTTCTTGGCCAGCTGCTGCTCAGGCCAAGAACTTCTGGATATAGAGTTAGGCCTGAACAAGCAGGGGTTAGAGGGAGCAGCTAAAGCAGGCCTCAAGGGAGCATCCATATTGAGTGCTAGGACCACCGAGAACCTAACTATGTAATGCCTTACTGTGGGCAGCTGTGGAGCCACACTGGTGGCTGGCCTGATGTGGAAGGCACAGGACAGGAGACAGTGGCATCGTACTCAACAAAACTGTTTGGGTCTTGAATAACTTCTTTGAGATCCTGGCAGAAGAGTTCATAATCATCCGGCAAGGGCAGGTCCCTGTTGAGGTAAGAAGCCACCCAGGCCCAAGCTAGGCTAGGCCTGTCAGTCAGCTGAGGCTCTCACGGACACAGTTGAGATTGTCCTGATAGTGTTCAAAATGGAAGACATATAATTTCCCAGCTGGGTCAAAAAGTCGTCTAACAGCCATGGAAAGCTAGGAACCCAGTGGAAGTCCATCCTGAGTGGCCAGGGGTCTGGTATGCATCCAGCTGGAGAGCCCCTTTCTGTAGGCTTAATGCCAGAAGAATCATTAGCTGAGCTATTCCAATCCATGGTGGTGTCCACACACATGGGGTTCCCATGGCAGGATCTCTCAATCCAGGAATCCACAAAGGGGTCATGCCATGAGGTAGCATCCATCTGCTGCCAAGGGTGTGCATTGGTGGAACTGGCTGTCACCTTCATAGGATTACCAGGGCTCTGCCAACGGTACCTGCCATGAAGCATGCCAGGAGTAGAGGAAGGAAAGGCCCACGTAAGGCCTGGTGCGGACAGAAGAGGCAGGCACAACACAGCAGGCCAAGAAGCAGCTGGACAGGGTGTGGCAGACTGCCATTCCAGGGAAATACTGAGGGCCGGGGGAGGCGAGCCGGTAAGAGTTGAGGGGCTGTCAGTTGCCGGCCATCATCCAAGGAAATCTGTCCAAAAACAAGGTGGGGAAAGAGCAGGAACCAGGCCCAACCACCATCACTGAGCTGGCAGGAGGAAGCAGCAGGCAGAAAACCCCCGGGGACCTGACTAGCTGCTCTGAGTGGAAGGAGAGGCCTAGGGGCTGGTCTGGGGGTGGGGGGTAAAGGAAACAGACAAATGCTGCCTGTGACTTTCAAGGTGTAATGACAGATGCTGTCAATCCTAGAAGGGGCCAGATCAGAACATCAGGGAAATCTAGGGCAATGGCAGTCACAGCTGTCATTTGCACCATGCGTGCTGAATGCTGACCACCCACTACCCACAAATGGGGTACTATTATTATTGCCGAGGAAGAGAGGCAAAGTGATGTGTGTGCAGCCACACACCAACTAGTAAATGACAGCGAAGGGGCAGAACCCGTCCGTGGAGACACGCGCAACCACAAATCATTTCTCAGGCTACGGACTAGCCCTCAGAGTGGAATGAGTGGGCTCCCGGCTGCCGGAACACTGTACACCGCTGGATCGGAGCGTGCCACAGCACCCCTGCACACCCAGCACCAGGCACACCTGACAGCTTGCCTCACTTGGTCTGTTTCCTCCTGCTCCCAGGATTCCAAAGACCACCTGCAGGCAAAGCTACCCAACCCTGAGCACACCTTCCTCACCCTCATCCCAGTCAATAACCTGGCACCCTAACCCCCAAGGGTGAAAGTCTGCAATTCCACTTTGGAGTCTTCTGTTACCACCAGACCTGGCCAGAGCTCCCCTCTCACGGTTGGACCCACCCTTCTTCCAAGCTGTAGTCGCAAGGCCACACAAGGAAGTAGGACAAGGAGCCCTCCTCTGGGGCTCGCACACTGCTCCAGTCTCTCCAGAGAGGGAAGTGCACCACTTGAGACCTCCTTTCAACTCTCTGCTTCATCCCTGCATACACAGCCCAGTTCTCCACAGGCGCTCTCCTAGGAGCACCAAGTCTAGCACATACCTTCACACCTGGTTTTCCATGTGTTTACCCCCGACCCAGAGTCAGTTTCCCCAGGAAGGTTCAGTAAGGTTGATCTCTGCACCAGCATCTCCCAAGTGGCTTGCAAGTACCACCAGCACCTACCTCTCCCACCCAAGCATTCTGGATCATCTCAGGTAGGCCCCTAACTCACACCTGAAAGCCCAGCCCTTGACCTGGGATTCTCTCCATAATCATGAGCCAGATCCAGTCTCTCAGTGAGTTCTCAAAAAGTAGTGCCCACAAGCCAGGCCCCAAGCCCCAAAGCTAGGTGTCAGGCTGCCCACAAACACCTTGTCATACATGCCCAGAAACCAGTATGTCACCCATAACTCCTGCCCCAACTACTAACTTCAGATGTTATCTGCCCACTCACCTGGTGCCTGAGTGCCTCTAGCAACCTAGGAGAGAGGCGCCCCCACCCTCGCACAGTCAATTCCTGCTTCAGCCTAGGTCTTCCTAACCCCGAGCCAGTCACTCATTTTTTGAGCCTCAAGATCATCCCAAACCGCCCTTGCCTATTAATCTGTGGAACGCTCTCTCTTCTCTCCATCAAGCCTCCCTGGTACTAGGTAGTTTCGCTCCTTTTCCTGGTTGGACAGCAATCTACTGGAAGGAGGAGGGCCGCGGCGCATGGGAATCTTCCTCCGCAGGCTGGGCAGTACCTGACACACGCGCTGAGTTCTTTGCTCCAAGATCCAGGAGACCGGGGAACAGAACTTGCCCAAAGCCAAAATGTGAATGGAGGTAAGCTGCACCGCCCACCTGCCATCCATCCACCGCCATGCAGAGCATCCAGCTCACAAGCTCGGGGTCAATGAAGCCCACCTACCTGAGAATGCGCAAAGCGAGGCCGCCAGGGTCAGAGGATCTGCTGGCGGACACCGGGCAGAGCGGCGGGCTTCCGAGGCCAGGATCCCACAGCCACCTGTAAAGCGAAGGGCGAGGAGAGCCTGAGCGAGATCAGGGAAGCGGGAGCATGACTCCGCAGGACAGAGCCCACACCTCCGCCCGCCGCCCGACCTCGCGCCGCCACGCTGACCCCGCCCCACTCACCCCGCCGCCGAGGTCCGAGCCGCTTCCTAGGATTTGGCCGAGCGCCTCGTCAGCCACGCCCCCCTCCGGCGTGCGCTCTGGCGCCCCGCACGCCCCACGCTCGCCGTCCCGCAGGGCTGCGCGCGCACGCTCGGCTCGCCGCGCCTGCGCCGTGAACCGTGAGGCCTCTGCCTTGCAGACGTCCCTACGGTGCCAGCGCAACAGCCCGGCGCGGGGGGTGATGGGAGTGCGCGCTCCAGTATCTTGCCGAGAGGCCGTGTGCGCAGGCGCCAGCTGGTCCTGTGGCTCGCAGGAGCAGAGCCGGGGCTGCTGCGTTCTCATTTTTTGCTGTCATCTGGAGGACTGCCGGGGGCCAGCGTGGGTCGCGAGGGCCCCGGTACTGAGAGGCTGCTGAGTCTGCAAGCCTGGGGAGCGCATCTCCCCTAGTGGCATCTCCCCTAGTGGCAGGTCCACACAGTACCTGGTGCCCATGATCAGAGCCTAATGAGACCCAATGTCTGCATATCTCCACCCCAGCCGGGGGAAGCAGGGCAAGCTGGCAGCACATCCCTCCGCTTGGAATCATAGCTAACAGCTGCAGGCAAGGCCTGTGGCTTTCTTCGTCTCGCGTGTGTGTGTCTTTGTGTGTCTGGACCCAGAGAGGACGATGAGGGCTGGCTGCCAACGCCTGTTGGACAGGGCAGTGCCTAGCTCAGCGTGCTGCTCGGCACTGGGGCATTTTAGAAAGACCAGGAGATGAGCCTATGTGCCCCTCATGTGCATATGAGGATTTGTCCCTCTAGCTCCTCCGTGTCCTCGTAGTGTCATCCCACAACCCAGACATATGTGTTTAGATGGTCCAAGGACCAGTTCTTGGACCAGGAACAGAGGGCTTTCCTGCACGGTAATACTCCTGAAATCAAGCACGTGTATAACACACCAGCTCCCTGTCTGCCCTGCTCTGGTGACTCCTTTCATGAAAGATCTCTGAAATGTTATCTGCATTTACACCCAAACTCACTCGCTTTGATCCTTGAAACGGGAATCAAAGATCACATTGTACTTTCCAAGGGTCTGTAGGGTTTTCAGTAGCCTGGGCCAAAAATAATAAAAGTGGCACCCAACCAGGAAACACCTCCTTGAAGTGTGAATGAAACTTGGATTTTTTTTTCAGTTGTATCTTTCCTAATTGACCTGATAATTTAAACTTCCTCCCTTAAGGGAGGGGTTGTTTCTGTGAATTCCGATCACCCTCAGGCCCCAAGCAGCTGGAACCAGCTCATGACTAAACGGCAGAGTGAGCAGCAGGCTTGTGAAAAGGACCACACAACCATGCCCCTCCTACAAAGGCCTTTTTCCAGATTGCCTTTTATTTTAGGGAATTACCTCAAATGTGCATGACAAAATTTATTGTAGTAACCATTGTAAAGCATACAATGCAGTAGTCATATTAATAAATAAATTCACAAGGGTGTGCAGCCATCACCACCATCCCCAGAGCCATCTCATCGAACTAGAAACTATCCATTAAACACTGAGTCCTCATCTCCGAACCCTGAGCACCCACCATTTTGAGTCTGAATTTGACTGTGTACCCCACATACCTGGTGCTCACACAATATTTGTTCATTTGTGAATTGTTTCATTTAGTATGTTTTCAAGGTTCATCTATGCCATAGCATGTGTCTGAATCGCCTTCCTTTCACGTGTTGACTGAGGAACTGGGGAGGTGGCTCAGATATTAAGATCACTGACTGACTGCTCTTGTATAGGGCCTCCATTTGTTTACCAGCACCCATATTGTGGCTCACAATCATCTATAACTCCAGTTCCAGGGTATCTGATGGCCTTTTCTAGTTTCTTCAGAATGGAGCACATGCATGGCTCACAGATAAGCATGCAGGCAAAAGAACTCTTACATATAAAAATAAATAAAAACTTTTTTTTTAAAGAGCCAGCCTTTAATCCCAGAACTCAGGAGGCAGAGGCAGGTGGATCTCTGTGAGTTCCAGGCCAGCCTGGTCTACAGAATGAGTTCCAGGCCAACCTGGTCTACATAGTCAGACCCTATCTCAAAAACATCCAAAAAAAAAAAAAAGTGACTGGTCCTTCCTTTGAGTGTCCACATTCTGTTTACCCTTCATCCCTCAGGACACTGAATTGTCTACACCTTTGGCCATTGTGGGTAATAGTGCTGTGGAATCATTGTGTCCTAGTCAGGGTTTCTATTGCTGGGATGAAACACCATGACCAAAAAGCAAGTTGGGGAGGAAAGGGTTTATTACACTTCCACACACTATACATCATCGAAGGAAGTCTGGACAGGAACTCAAATGGCAGGATCCTGGAGGCAGGAGCTGATGCAAAGGCCATGGAGGGATGCTGCTTACTGGCTTGCTCAGCCTGCTCTCTAATAGAACTGGGGACCACCAGCCCAGGGATGGCACCACCCACTATGGGCTGGGCCCTCCCCCATTGATAAATAATTAAGAAAATGCCTTACAGCCAGATCTTATGGAGGCATTTTCTCAATTGGTTCCCTCTTTTCAGATAACTCTAGCTTGTGTCAAATTGACATAAAACTACCCAGGACACACTGTAAAAGATCTATTTGAGTCCCTGGTTTTAATGTTTTAAAACGTATGTGTTATGAATGTTTTATGTTCATTTATGTCTGCATCATGTGCATGCCTGGTACCCTCAGAGGACAGAAGAGGGTGATAGATCCCCTGGAACTGGATTTACAGATAGTTGTGAGCTGCCGTGTGGGTTAGTTCCTGTAGGAGAGCAGCCGGTGCTCTAAACCACTGAGCCGTCTCTCCAGACCTGATTTTAATTCTTTAGCTATACATCAAAAAAGAGCAGAACTGCCAAGTTTCACGGTGATTCTGTTTTGTTTTGTGATGAACTCCAGGGTTCCAAGCCGGTTGCCAGCACTGGTATCCAAGGGTTCCAGTTCCTCCACTTCCTGCCGACAGGTGGTTTGGGCCAGGGTTGTGGCCCAGCAGTAGCTCACATGCCCAGTATGAATGAGACCCAGCACAAAATACTAAGTTTTCCAGTCTGTGAGCACAGTATATCTTATCCTTTCTTTTTCTTAGTCTTCTTTAATCCTTCTCAGCAGAACTGAACATAATATCAATGCTTGTAATCTCAACTCAGGAAGGTGAGGCAGAAGGATCCTGAGTTTGAGGCTAGCCTGATCTTTATAGCAAGAGTGTATCCAAACATTATTTTAAATGTTTATTATGATTATGATTATTATTATTAGTGTGTGTGTGTGTGTGTACATGGTGCTGGAGCTGAGAGTCCCACATCTTGATCGGCACACAACAGGAAGTGAACTAAGACACTGGGTGTAGCTCGAACATATGTGAGACCTCAAAGCCTGCCTCCACTGTAACACACTTCCTCCAACAAGGCCACATCTACTCCAACAAGGCCACACTGCTGTGGAACAATCTTTGGACACTATGAATGTGCATTGCTCAAATTGTTAATAAAATGCTTATTGGCCAGTAGCCAGGCAGGAAGTATAGGCAGGGCTGCCAGACTAGGAGAATTCTGGGAAAGACAAGGTGGAGTCAGGAGTCACCAGTCAGATGCAGAGGGAACACGAGATGAACATACCATGCTAATAAAGGTACAGCCATGTGGCAAAGCATAAATAGAAATACGGGTTAATTTAAATGTAAGAGTTAGCTAGTAACAAGCCTGAGCTATTGACCCAGCATTTATAAGTAATATTAAGCCTCCAAGTCAATTATTTGGGGAGCAGATGCCAGGTAATTGGGAACAGGCAGGTAAGAGAGAAATGTCTGATTACACCACATCTCCTAATAACGCCACTCCCTTTGGGGGCCATTTTCTTTCAAACTACCACAGTTATTCTATACAGTTATTCTATAACAATGTATATCACACACATACATTGTTATTATTATTATTGCCCATGAAGTGCTCAGGAACTTCAGTGACACAAGGAAGGTAGTAGCAGTGGACACCTTTGACCTGGTCCTTGTTCACTCATCCCACATTTTTGCTAGTTTGAAGGAGTTTTGCTTCATATGCAAGATGTTTTGCCTTGCATGCATGTCTGTGTACCACATGTGCGCCTGGTGCTCTCAGAGGCCAAGAGAGGGCATGGGATTCTCTGGAACTCAGTTACAGACCTCTGTGAGTCACTGTGTGGGTCCTCAGAAGAGCAGTCCTTCTCTTAACTGCTAAGCCATCTCTGCAGCCCCAGAATTTTTTTTCTGAGAGTGGTTTTCAAAACAATGTTCGATAAACTTAGCCAAATGCACTTCCTCTAGTGATGTAATTATGATAATTTATTTACCATTTGGTTAACGTACTAAATTATATAGATATAAAGTATATAGATAGAATGTTCAAAAGAAACCATCTTGCATTCCTTTGATAAATCCCATTTGGTCACAATAAATCCCTTGTATGTGTTGGTAACTTCAATATGTTCATATTTTAAACAGAATTTAGCATGTACATCTGAAACAGGTATTGGTTTGTAACTTTCTCTATTTGTAATGTTATTGTCTATATTTTTTTAAATTTAACTGCAATAACATCCTTTCCAGGGTCTGATGCCCTGCTCTGGCCTCAAGGGGCTCCTGCATTCACATGGTGCACACATATTCACACTGGTACACACATATACATAAATGAATTAATTTAACAATTGTTTTAGGTTTGCCTATTTTGTGTGAGTGTTTTGCTTGCTTGTATATATGTACACCGTGTATGGCTGGTGTACTCCCAGGTCAGAGAGGGCCTCAGATTGGATCCCCTGTGCTGGAGTTCAGATGGCTGTGAGCCACCACATGGGTGGTGAGAAAGGAACCTGGGTCCTCTGCAAGATCTACAAGTGCTCTTACCACTCAGCATCTCTTTATCTTTTTATTTACACAAGCTTTTCCTATTTTTGAAAAAAAAGATTTATTTTTATATTTTTCTGTGTGTGTATGCAGGTGCCGGTGAGA